TTCCATACAACTCGCATGAAAAAATGAAATTATTGAACCAACTCAATCAAATACCGCTTTTGTCAAACAAAATAGCATAATACACACTTTATGTTGAACCTTGTATTCCATATACTCAAACTGTACATGTAAATGCATTCTAAATAACGTTTTTCATTTCAGCTATACAATAAAGTGAAAACACAAGTATTATATAAGTATATTTTGATTTACTCAAATTTTGAAATTCTATTCATTACACTTGAAATAAGTAGAACAATTTATAAGAAAAAAACCATGAAAAATTAAAGGATGAAAGAAAAAATGGATATGAAGTCTTTTAATCGCCCTGTAATAAAAAACGGACATAAATCCAATTGGCATTTTTAAATTGGATTTGAAAAAACCTGAACCACGAAATAAACTTTTTAGATGAAAAAAGCGAGAATTTAAGGAACTTAACTTAAGTTTTTTTTTTTTTTAAAGTAAGAAAGAACTTTTAAAGTCGTTGTTCAGAAACGTTTGTTGTCACTTTTTGTTGATGACAGTACACTAATACATAGACATATTTTATTTGCTGTCTGTCAAATACACTTTCTCATGCGTCGAGCGACAGGGATGCTTTCACCATACGTACTCGTCAGTGGAGACGCCAAAAAATCATTGTATTAATAATATTTGAAATGAGTCATATGTGGTCACATATGATCTCATATGATTAGACAAATACCGTTATTTTTCATGCGCAACACTAATAAAACAATACATTATCGCTATTTTGAAGCTCTGGCAATTATTTCAATTTCAAAACAAATGCTTAATGACAAAGTCAAATCTCCTCCATTTTTTATGTTCACCACGGATGTTTTTACGGAACTTATTGTGAAATAGAAATATTATGATCCAAAATCATAATTTGGAACTAAAAAAAATTAAATTGTTCAACATTTTGAACGCATTTATCACGAAAATGTTATTTCAATGGGATTGCATATAATAATAATTTAATGAATTATGAAATTATATTGCTCTGTAAGATGACTTTACAAGCGAATGCAATGCATGCACTTGCACGTTTGTTTACCACTTGCCATGTATTCCGTTCAGTCTGACATTGTTATTGATGTGATGCGCATTTTGACTTGAAATGAATGGTAAGAATTCTTGCAATTGAAATAATTTGATTTCAAATAATCGATTTTTTGAATAAATCTAGAGAATAACAATCGTGCGGGTAATATTACCCTAAATATTCGGCGAGCTCATATTTCGTCTTACAAATGTTGCGTGCCCTCTTGTGATAAAGAATATCCAGAAAAATTACATCGTATTCCACTGGGAATGCGATATGATATTATGAAAACGAAGAGATTTTTCATACCGAAAAAGTCATTGGCATGTGATTTGCCTTGTGACTATTCTGTTTGGCCAGAAATCGTCATCCCGGATGAAATGTGCCTATTTACTTCTGCACAAATCGAAGAAATGGTTGATTTGTTGATATCAGACCCAAAACAATCGAAAGATAAACTTCTGGGTAATTATATTGACATGATTGGATTCAATTAAATGTGTTTTTTCCTATCATAAATGTTTTATCTTCAGTGCTGGAAAAAAATTCCGTAGCTGGCATTAAAGCTGATACCGGCCTATCGCGTGCACAGTTTGAAAATCTTTTTCAATGTTTGACATCTCTTCGAGACGAATTGAAAAATGACAAAATGGCATCAGACTTCTTGTACACGTATCTCATGAAAATTCGGACTGGTCGCACACACGATGACATTGGGAGAGTATTTGGAATCATAGCAATGGCCGTAACAAATCGACTAAATCGTGTAAGACAGGCAATGGAACAAGATTTTGTTTACCAAAATGTGAACTGCCAGTTAAGTCGTGAAGAATTGGCACAACGTACAACACTTTTCAGTCAAATGCTATTTTGCAATGGCGATGCTAGTCGCCCAATTGTGATTCTCGATGGCACGTACGTTTATATTCAAAAGAGCAGAAATTATGAAATCCAAAAACAAAGCTATAGTGATCAGAAAAAACGTAACTTTGTTCGAGTCATGATGTGTGTCACGACGGACGGTACAATCGATAGAGGGTTCCGTGATTGTATTCAATTTCTGAAAGACAAAGGTTTCGACGTTCGAACGCCGGCGTTACTTCAGCACTCACAGAACAGGCAACAATTATCAACGATCGAAGCCAACAGATCGCGCCTTGTCACAGCAAACCGTTATGGGGTAGAAACACGTAACGGCCATATCAAAACCATTTTTAAAATATTTCAGAAAGAATGGTGTAATATTACTCTCCCCCATCTCATGACCGATTTTCGAATTTGTGCGGCTTTAATTAACACATATTTCAAATCAATCGAATCAAACAAAGGTATAGCCACTGAAATTGCGACTCGGATGCTCAATCGTCTTGAAACACCAAACCTACTATCGCCAATTGTTTCGAGAGATGTTTTTCAAAGAAAACTCATACAATTCGAACGGTTTACTGATTTCGAAGAATTGCCCACATTGATGGAAATGGACTTGATTTGGATATCTCTCGGTAGATATCAAATCAAGCAAGCGGCTTCTTATTGCCAAGTACATTTCAAGGCAAATGATATGGAATTCGTGGTGTTTGCGTGCCCAAATGATGTATGCGAAACGTTTTTCACAGATTTTTTTGTCGACGGCAAACAACCAAAATTACTGATGGCACGCATAAAATCTCGCTTTCGTAGTAATAAGACTCACGATGTTTATGTGTTAATTGATACTTTGGGCGAGGGAGAAAAATCTGTTCTGGCATACTGCTGCAGTTGTTACAATGGCCAACGAACTGTTGGCTGTTGCTCACACACTATGAGCATTATTTGGTTTTCATTGCACATCAAAAATCCAGGCAATATGCACCAACCAGCCGCATTTTTGAATGATTATTTCGACGAAGTTTTTCCATCATCAGATTCTGATTCAGACAATGAATAAATATTGTTATTAATAAAAATCGTATTTAATAAACGTCATCATCATCAATAATTATTTTTTGTCTGTTGTCATCTCAATAATTCAAATGAAGCGCTTGTGAACAATTCAAATATTCGATGGAGGTGGTACACCTAATTTATTCCGTTTTGTGTTTGACAGTTTTGTTGAAATATCTCATAAACACCACCTTTGATGTGTGTGTATATGTATTGGTGCTTAAATTTGACAATGTACTCACTTTAAAAGTTCTTTATCGTCTTCGAGTTTTTTAGAATTTTTGTCGCTTGGTAAGCCACCAATCACTCGAGGATTTTACCGCTTTACGCTTGCGAGAGATGAGTGGGATGAGCGGTACATCCACTGGGGCATCACCATCTTGAATGTTCAATACAACTTCAACAAATCCTTCGACTATACCAACTAAACGCTGTTGGGGGATGTTTGGGATGAGCGTTACTTCCTTCATTTCGGCGCCTGAGTCACCCGCTACAACGGCATTCACACTGCGATCTGGAACATTTTCGAGGGAATTGGCCGCTTCATTTGCGAGAATTTGATCGGCAACGATGTCACCAGGAGCGACCTCCACGTTTGCGTTCGCCTCAACAATTGGGACAGATCCATTGGCATTGGCCGCTTCATTTGCGACAGTTTGGCCGATTAGATGATTGGCTTGTTTGAGGCCAGCAATAATTTCTATAATGAATCAATAATTTCTTAATTAAATAAAATTCATTTGATTTTCTAATTTTTACGTACGCGAATGGAGGACCAACAAGGTGTTTGTTAGTGCGTTCTGTTGGTTGTCAACACTTCCCAAAGTGTCAACAGCGCCTGTGAGTGCTTCGCACATTTCGGCAATGGATTGATTGATAGATTCCATCCTATTGAAAAACAAAAGCCGTTGCACATGTAAAAAAAGGAATTAAACAAATAACACCGTACAACACATGTTTTCGCACAAGAGAAATTCCGATGGCGTTTGTTAGAAGACCTCAAAACAAACACTTCTGCATCATTAGAATGTCCGGAACCACGTCTAGATTTTTTTTTATCGATTTCGGTAGTTCTTCTGGGAACCTGAAAAATCAGCGGAATTTTCTTACACTCAAAACATCATTTTTTGCTCATTTCTTGGCTGGTATTTATTTAAAATGATTGAAAACAATTGAAACTACAATAATACATTGAATTCAACTATCTGGTGAGAGCTATGAGGCAGAATGTCGAGAAAATAGTCTATTTTTCCAGTTTTTCGACCAAAGCTCGAGCAGTATACATTTTTTTCATTCAATCTCTGTTCGGCAATATTGTAGCCAGAGTATAGCTGAGCAACACTCCTGAACATATCAACTCGAAAAACCAACATCCAGTCCACTTTATTGTCTCAAAATCACTTTTCGCTATAAAACGGTATTTTTGTGCATTTTCGAAGTCCTGAAACTTCTCAACTGCTTAAAATAGAGCAATAGTGTCTGAAGAAACTTTTTAGCACTCCTCAAGAAATTTTCAGGCCAAGTACTAAAAAGTACTAAAAAGTACTAAAAGTGTACTAAAAACTACTAAATTGTTTTAAACACTTT